GCTACATTTTAAAAATATTTTGAAATATACAGGGTGTCCAGGAAAAGCGTACCATATCAAAGTTATGTATTTTTAAATGGAACGCCCTGTGTTTTACTGCATTTTTGAAAGCACCATTAAAAAATTGGTGAAGTTCTGCATACCTAGGACTTACAGTTTGTGAGATATTTCAATTTTAGTGAAAATGCAGGCATAGCGTAGAAATTTAATATTAGCAATAAAAAAATAATTTTAAGGAAGCAGCTTTGGAGGGTCTATTTTAGATCCATGAAGTGTTCAGGGTGTTCAAAAAACTGGTGAATACTTCTCTCAATTTTAAACAGCAATAACTTGGTTATTTTAAATGGGATACCCTGTATATTTTTACTTTGGGAGTTAGGAAATTTAAAACTCTTTCAATCTGTGTATAGGTTCCCTATACCTATCTCTAACGGTATTGGAGATATTTGTGTCGTTTCATTTTTTATCGAATTTTTTCGAAAGATGTATCCACGTGTCTTTATCGAGGTCTTTATTGAATTATTTTGGGTTCTTCTTGACGACGTCTCTTTAAATATAGGGAGAAAAATGTGAATGCAATTAGCTGGCACACCTGAAAATTTTTCATATTCAGTGCGAAATTATTTAAATCGAAAATTTGGTAGTAAATGGATAAGTAGGAATGGTGCATGACAGTGGCCACGTAAAAAATCTTGTACACAATGTTCCATCTATTACTTGCTGTAATCAACCTACACATACCCACCTAAACAGGTTTCTGTAACATTTGCCGTTTGGTCCCTAGCGACCGAGGCGTTACTATTTGTCACTCAACGGTACTAGCTAACATGTTTAATCATGTAATTTATCTATAGATAAATTTGCTGTATTTAAGGTTTAATTCAATTTCTATGTTTTTAGTATTATTACACTTATTATATAATCTATGACCCCTTATCGCAAAAAGGTGATTTATTTATATTTACATACAACAGTACAAGGACAATTGAAAATGCAAATTTTATTATAAGACCAAACTATAGCTATACACGCTACTTGGTATATTAAATAAAAAAATTATTCCTAGTTAATGTAATCTACTTATAATTTTAAAAGATAGAACATTCAATGAAAATTTCCTACATCTTAAACTGCAGATTTTACATTGATTATCTATTTACATATTTATATAAAACAGTGATATTTGCCCATTATTCCACTAGATTTTTTGTCTTACATGTTTTAAAATTAACATATTCACATAATTTTGCGAATATAAATATCGCTATTCACTATTGTTTCTAAATACTTAAAACACACATTGCAATTTACAACGAATACCTATGAGAATTATTTCAATACTTACTGGTATGTCCCAATTCAGAGCAGCTTGCCAAATGTGCGCTGAACAGTCACCGCTACCAGTGAGAACAAGATCCTTTGCAGGATGGAACCGAATGGAATTGACAGAACCGACGTGTCCTTGATATTGTAGGAGACACTTGGCACTTTCAATACTCCATATACAAGCTGTGTGGTCTGAAAATAATAATAAGGATAGTTTTGATAATATAATAATTAAAAATATAAACACTTTTTGTCAGTGGCAGCTGGTGAAAATTAAAGTGATCATAGTTTGAAGCGCCGCACATTGGGAAATATTGGAAAACATTCTCGCCACTCGCCAATTTTCATCGTCTCGTCGTGATTTTTTTTTAATAATCTCGTGGTAATCTGAATTTTCATATTCCGGTGAGGTTTATTCGAAAAACCCTTTTTTTTTAATACTTAGGAAGCGCCCCAACCTCAATGTCGAAGAAAACATTTTTAAATACTCGATGTTCAGTTGTAGAAAAAAATGTTTAAAAAGTATCTGCTATTAATAAAATTGATTATTATGACTCTTGATGATATATCTGATGTTTTTTCTTCAAAAACCTAACGTCAAAATTATTACTTCTAACCTAAAGGCCTTAAACTAAATTTACATTGGAAAAAAAGTTTTTTTACATGCCAAAAGTACGAAATAGATTCAATAGAACCCTACGTAACATGTTATACCCAAACCATGAATTTGAATCTAAAAAACATAACCTCAAAACCAACATTAACTAAGTTTAAACTCACTAAATTAAGGATTAATAAAAAAAATGAAAAATATCTTTATTGTACAGAGATTCGATCAACAATTTTTCCGAGAGCATACACCTTGTGCCATACTGTACCCACATCTGACACCTTAACCCAAGAAACTAACCTCAAATCTGGAAAGATTGTCAAATCAAATCATTAGAGTGAAAAAAATTGTCACAAAATTATTTTCTTTAATAAAAAGTAAGATATTTTTAATTTTTATTTACTAATCCTTAATTCCGTAGGCATTTGAGATTCTCGAATTAACTTTGGAAATATAAAATTAAAATAGGGGTTGTGGGCTCTAAAATCTCAAAAAGAGTTACATACACAGCATGTAACTAAAATGCTGCTAAATTTTTTTGATCTCATGTCGTAAATGAACTAAAGTACTTCCTTTAAACATATTTCCAGAAACATCTCATTTGCGAGGTAAACGGTATTCAAAATTAATGAAATTGTGTCCGCTATTAAAATTTGGACAGACATTTTACTTACACCCTGAAAATTACCAAAATATATGATATACAAATAGGCGTTTTTTTAATTTTTCATAAAAGGTAATTTTTTTAAAGTTGCGGTATTCAGAAGTTTTCAAAATGGAATAATAATATCAAATCAAATTGAAATAAGTTTGCGAAGAAAATTTATTTTCTGATATACAGGGTGTTTCAGAAAGACCTTCCGTAAATTAAAGGGGTGATAGATAATACGACAAAAAATAAGAATTTTTTGTCTTATGAACTATATGTCTATCTCCTCTTGTTTTCGAGATACAGAGCAACAAACAAAAATTTAAATAGAATTTTTAGGATAATTTCCAAACGGCGCGAAATATTTTTATGAAATTTGGTATTCCAGGGCTTTTAAGGATGTCAAATACGCTGGTCTAATCATTTTTTGGATATTTCTTAGAGGGCGCTAGTTATGCTACATTCCTATTACATTTTAAGGTATAATTTTTTTAAGGTTAGGTTTTACCTCTTGTTTGAATTTCCTAATGTGGACCGTTTTCGAGAAAGGAGGCTTTCAATTGAACTCCTACAGTATTACGGTGTATAAAATAAGTGACTTTTCTCAAAGTAGGCTTATGTCAAAACTTATTGATGGATGTCTCATAAACAACGCATACATTCTTAGTACCAAATATTTTAAACTCTAATTAATTTTATATCAAAATTTTAGTGATTGTTAGTGACTGTAATTAGTATTGACTAATTACAGTCACTAAAATTTTGATATAAAGTGAATTAGAGTTTAAAATATTACCACAGAGGACTATTGGGTCCTCTGTTATATATTACTAAGAATATACGCGTTGTTTATGAGACATCCATCAATAAGTTTTGATATAAGTCTACATTGAGAAAAGTCACTTATTTTCTACACCGTAATATTATAAGAGTCCAATTAAAAGCCTTTTTTCTCGAAAACCGTCCACATTAGGAAGTTCTAATAAGAATACATTATTTTTAGAAAATAAAATTGTATATTAGAAATTAGAGCCGGAATGGTAAAAAACCTAACCTTAAAAAAATTAGAACTTAAAATGTAATACGAATGTAGCATAACTACCGCCCTCTATAAAACATACAAAAAATAATTAGACCAGAGTATTTGGCGTCCTTAAAAAACACGGAATACCAAATTTCATAAAAATATTTCGCAGTTTGGAAATTTTCGTAAAAATTCTATTTTGTCGCTCTGTATCTCGAAAACAAGAGGAGATAGACATATAGTTCATAAGACAAAAAATTGTTATTTTTGGTCGTACTATCATCCCCTGAATTTATGAGAGGCCTTTCTGAAACATCATGTATAACATAAATGAATATGAAAAAAATTGTATTGTTCACATGCATATGTTCCATCCCCTTTCAAGATATCAGGGTCGGCTATCTAAATTTTTCATTTTTTAAATTTCATTCGAAATCACAAACATTATCTACATGGGCCTAAAATATCCCTTAAAAACTAAAATATTGCAAATTAACCAATGAAAATGAATAAAAAATTGTTCTCAATTTGAAGCCCATTCGTATACTGCCTAAAACTATGAAAGCAACAGCAGTGCCAGTAATTGATGAATTTTTGTCATCTTTAGGCATTTATAATGTGTCCTAGATTTTAAAGCTGAAACAGATATTTAAAATTTAAATTTAAAATCAATGAAATTGAAAAGCGTTTATTACAAAACAGATTGAATCACTTTAGGCCACTGTTTGCTTCTGGCCATTAGGTAGGATGGTAGGAAGGCTTTTGCCTCCTCCTCCCCTAGGAAAATTCCTCGTAATTTATTCAATAAGTACGGGCCACCAAGAACTGATGGTTGGTCACTATAATAAATTTTAAAAATTAATGTTTGTTACATCATATGAAAAATTTAATTTTCATCAACATTCATTTAAAAATTTTTTCGGTATCTCCCTCCATTCAAATAATATAAAATAACTTTATTTTTTTTAATAAATCTGGTACAGTGCACAAAAATAATTAAAACATGTCAATAATGAATGAATATTGAAAATGTTTTGGGTTCCATTGACATCAGTATAAGCTTGATCTGCTAGTATACAAGGTGTCGCGTAATGAATTATACACAGAGTAACAGGTGATTTGTGACGTCATAATAATGTGAATTAGAAAATGTATACTTAGAAGTAGATGGAGATTGGAGACCATTTTGAAAATTTAATAAAATAATTCACGGTTATAATGTACAATTCAGTTATGTTTATGTTTACAATTTTCTTTTTGATAAAATAAAAAATAAATTACTTCTTTAACTTTCTCGTTATATATTGAATTTTTTAATTGCAAATATCTCGAAAATGGTAATACCTAGCGACACACAGTGGTCCAAATTCTCCACCTAGCCGGAAGAAAGTAATTTTTTTTATTATTTCGAAACTAAATATTTTGTTTGATAATAAGTTGACAAGTGTGCCCGCAGTGCAAAACGGTACATTTTTTATTTATTTAACTTCTGTTTCAGGTTTGCTTTCTTGTTTTAAACATAAGTAATTGCTGTTTTGTTTTTCTATTAATAGCTCAGTTGATATTTAGTACCGCAATTAAAGTTGTCGTGAAAAATAAGAACAAAGTTTTTAAAATATTTTTTTGCTGAAATTAATTTAACGAAGGTAGGAACAAATTTTACTATTTTTATATTTCAAATAAAATGTTTTGTTTAGAAAAAAAATGCAGTTTTGTACGTGTGTCTTATATGTAAACATTGTGTTCAATGTCCAAATTCAATTAGAGTTTTAAATGAGAATTTATAAAACTTTAATTCTATTATTTGTGTTTTTGTAATCTGTATGATTGTAACTTGTCAATGTTTTCAAAATTAGCTGCTAGTTTTTGCCTAAATGCTTTTTATTTGGTTTACAGTTTAAAATGTCCATTACTAAGAGGGAACTATTTGATGCTTGGTTATTGCGTTACTTTCAGATGCTTCTATACCAGAGTCGTTCCTCGATTCAGAAAGTGAATCAGATTAAGGCAAACATATTGTCTTTTTCGATTTGTTGTATTTGTTCGCCACAGGCCGTTGTTTTTTGAATAATTTTCAGTTGTCTTTGATTTGCCTTTACATTTCACTTGCCTTTAACATTTTGAATATTTGGATTAAATATATATTCATATTTCATTAAATTGAAAACATTATTTTTTTCTATAGCTCCTATTAATGTAGATTAAAATTTGTGATAAAAATTCGAAATTTTAGATAAATAAATAAATAATGTTTTACATAAATACAGGTATATTATTTGTTTTTATTTATTTAACAAAAAATCTGCCACGCCCATTTTACAGATTGCGCCCATTTTTTTGGTGAGTGTTTTTATTGATAAAATCTATGAACGTGCAAAGTTTCATGTCAATGCGGCTTTTCAAAAGCGAGTTATGACTTTCTTCCGGCTAGATTGAGCATTTGGACCACTGTGCGACATCAAGAAAGTATACCTTTTTTTTAAGTAAAAGTGATGTGGATACGACGACTTTTTTAATAAAAGTTGTTGAGAAAAAAAGGATTTTCGCATGATATAAATAATATTTATGAAATTGAGGAAAACAAATTCGATGATGCCACAGTCATTAGGATGGTAAACTAAGATGAATTTTTAAGTCAACTACTTATATTATCATGCCATGCTCTGTTTTCCTGTAATAATAGCCAACCATCAATCCTGGTCCATCCTGTACAACTAGAGGAGTACTATTAATAAAAAAACATATATTCGAACGTCTTGTTAATAAATCGCTCGCAGCATGAACGGATGGAGAGTGACAATTACACGTAACATACAGGGACAGAAATAGGGCCTAACTCTGATCGAATTATTAATCTTAGTGATGTTCCAATTATTCCAGCTCAAGCACCAAAGAGAAAATAAAGTGTA